GGTGAGTCTTCATATCTGCCTCATTTTTCCTCTCTTTTTGAACCATAAGTACTATTTATTTCAGAAGATCAGAAGAACAAAAAATTTATTTGTATTCAAATAATGAAAATCTTAGCTGATTTGTTACAGCTGCATAGTAAAAGAAAAAGAAAATCTTTAACCCTCAAAAATCAGTAATTCTGAGAAAACGTAGAAAAATGTTAGATCTGTTAGGTGCAGTTGAATAGCATATGGTACTGAGAAACTTAAAACAGTAAGTAAACTCTATTTTTAGAATCTGATTGGATGTGGTACTAGACACTCTAGCAGAAGCGGGCTGCTGTACGAAAATGTCTAACGCGGTGTTGATAAGAAAAGCTTGTTGCCAGACCCGCATATTCTGGTGATTGTTTTTACTTCATAAACTGCTTATTGCAACTAGGTTCAATAAATAAAAACTTTCAATAGCAGCATTTTTCGAAACAAACAACAAATATAAGGCAAAAGTGAGGGCATGCTTATGTGAGTTTGAGGGACTTAGAACTTGAAACTTGGCGTCATCTTAATGAACTAACTTCATCGTTAAAAGTGTTTTCTGGACCGAAATAGCCGAATAACATCAGCAAAGGCAACATTTATTACTTCAGTTTCCTACGCTTAAGTGTTCCAAAATTGATAAGGTAAAAACTAGAATGACTAAGTTTTTGCTGTTTTTAAGAGTTGTCTCATTTTCGTTCATTGCTCTTGTTCTCCTTTACTCCAGTAACTTTTGTGTTATTATTTACGTAAAAACTGCTGAAAATGCATTGAAAACATACTGAATTTTCAGCTTCTCTTCCGGCTTCCGTTGCAAAAGTTCTTTTCGTTTTGTTGAGTAAAACTAACGTTTGGAAAATTTACTGTACGGCAGAAATTGCACTTTCCTTGACAGTATCAACGTTCTTTTCCAAACGTTTGATGGCGTAAAGAAAACGAGATATAAGTATCAGATTTCTGCTGCTTTCAAAAGCTACCTCTACTGCCGTCAGCGGCTGTGAAAGTAGACCGCAATTCAGGCAGAGAAGTCAAAAAGTAAAAAGATTAAAGGTTTTTCAATAATTTTTTTCTTCTCAGTTTAAAACAGATTTTATTCTAGGCAAACAACGTTGAAGTTGCAGCAACGGCAAGTTGCTAGTCAAGCAACGAAATAGAACTTAGAAAAAAAAAACATCTCAAGCATCAAAAAAAGAAAAATAAGAGTTGTCTGAAGTGATGGATTATCAATTTGATCGCCTCGCACTATAAATTTCACACATCTTTAATTTCATAATTTATCTTATCCTTAACAGAATTTAATGGCTTTTAGTTTATTTCCTCTGCCGTTAAATGGTATTATCAAATTTAATTCAACTGAAAAATTTTATAGACGTAGCAAAAACAAGATTTTAATAAATATTTATAAGAGGATGTTTTTAACTTTGAAAAAAACGTTTTGTACAAAATTTTTTGCCCTGCAACATATCAAGACTTCGTGATAATTTTTTTCTGTTATTGGAAATTACTAGTCACAGGGGAATGTGAAACTGAAAAAGCCCATTGTTTTACAGTAATTCATGTATTTTACAGCTTCTGAAAGTCGCAGAAGAAGGCTTCAAAAATCTAGAACGTAATAATCGGTGAAGAACTGTCACAAAAGTTGCATTCTACTTTATGTCGTTAACAAGTTATGCATAGCTGTAAACCGTAACTTTTACTGCACTGCTTTCTGCTCCTTACGTGTTGTGGTTTACTGAGAGAGTCAATAAGACACATTTAGATGACACAGAAACGACATCGATGATACTGGAAACTAGAATTTTAGATGACAATGGGTTTCGTGAGCAAAGGATGCGTAGAACAAGGGGTTCTTATTCCGCCGCTTAAGAGGTAGCGAAGAAAGAGATTTTAAGGCCCTCAGAACTGTATGCATAGCGCCCTCATTAAAATTTTAGTTGCGCAAGCAAACCCAACTTATTGTCCTTTTTAAAATTATGTATCGCAGTCCTCCAAGCTGCTAAAAATGAAAAATTCAGAAAAATCCTTTATTCGCCAGCTTAAAAAAAAAA